AGGAGGAAATGAAAAACAAAAAAAGGATGGAGAATTGCTCCCTTGCTCGTAGGTTCACCCCACTGGTGTCACTTCAACATTGAAAAGTCTAGGTCTTTCCTTTTTCTCCTTTCCTTATACAAGTATAGAAGATCTCAATTAGCCCATTGAAAAGGCAGAATATGCCAATAAAAGTTACTTTGAAAGAAAATGATGCTATGATAAATAATCTTCCTATTTAAAGTTAAAAAAAAGGAATCCATGCATTTATTACCAGTAATTCTTCATTACAATTAAGGCAAAAGGCTAGTGCACGGGGTTAGAAACTTAACTCCAAACAGTCTTTGGGGTAAAACGGCTCATATAGCAGCTTGCAAAGCTCTTGGTTTGGCATTAAGAGGAAGCGCCTGTGCTCTAAGAAGCCCCATTTAATTGGCTTTAAAAGCTTTCCGCCCTCAAATCTCTGGCCCTCAGGCACTTGCTCAGGAGACGCGGCGTCTTGAGTGAGGTCGGCTCAAGAGACGACTCCACTCTGTGTGTTTTGATCATGAGAGGCTTTGGGTGTGGATGTGAATGTGTGTCTGTTCGGTAGAGGAAGAGGTTTAACTAATGGGGACTGGATGGAGACCATCAGTGATTTTTTTTTTCTCTGTTTATGAATGGACCAGTGAATGTAATGTTCAAAACACCGTTTCAAAATGAGGGAAAAACATGAGTAATCATAAGAAGAAGGGATTGTCACATGCATTAGGTGTGTGTTCATGCCCTTCTCCATTAGAGCTTTTCTTTTCTTCTGCCTCCATCTCTTATGGATGTTATAAGGACTGTGTCTCCTTAAGACCTGAGATGAAACGTCAAACATTTGATCATTAGTGAACCACATTCTTTTTTTCCTTTTCTGTCTGAATCAATCACCTTGTCCTTCACACCAGGACTCCTTTAGGAGCACAACAAAATCCAAAGATCCCCAGCTTAGCCTTTTTCAACCCTTTCTTTGTGTCGTTTCCTTCTCAAACATTTTGGTAATCAGTTTTTGATTAGGGTTCTTTTGCAGATGTGTGTGTGTAAGGAAGAAGCAGCTGAAAGTGTAACAAATTGGTACCAACCCTCTTTATTTGAATAACTTGTTGCACCATGACTGGAAAAGTTATATTGCTTCCTTTAAAATAACTTTATTGATTAATGTTCCCTTTTGTTCTTTTCGTTTTATTAAATTTATGCAACGCTAAGCTTTTTTCCCTCTATTTTGTTGGAGGGTGACACACATCCTGGAACAATAAAGGATCTTCTGATAGATTTTAATGTGACCAATTCACCATTGTCTCTGTTTCAAAGCATTCAGAAAATTAAAATAATGACCCAGCATCACTTTTTCTGAGCTTTTGTGTAGTATAGCATGCAATTTATCTAAGCTACATTCTATGGCACCTGCAGAACATGTGAACATTTTCAGTGGGTTGTCCAACATGACAAAAGCCCCATTTATACTACACTCTGAAAACAGATCCTTTCTCGGTCCGAACTTTCCATTCGGACCGACCTTGGACCTGTTAACGATGCTGAGCTTGGTTCCTTACGGCCGTTTACACATCACGTTAGCATGGTTCCTTCCCTCCTAGTGACAATCTACGGTACTACTCTCTGGTAGGAAAACTTAGTGATTATGTTTTGTTCCGTCCAACATCACCTGGATAGACTTCTCCTCCTCCGAGTCAGCTGACTGTAAATAGGAGATGCTCATGCGCTCTTTGTTATCTGAGAACCAAGCCTCAACTGAACCGCGGCGAGCTCTACTGTTGAACTAGTACCAGTTTAGCACGGTTCAGTTGTGTCTAGCACAGTCCGGTTTAGTTTGCGTGCCATTTACACTCAACAGTTGCCTCGGTTACCGTGCTCGGACTAATCTCAGCATGGTTTCAAAAGGGTATTGTAAATGGGGCTATAGAGACTGTATAATTATCTAATTTCACAGGCTAAAATACCAATTCCATTGTTATATCTTTTTACCTGCTCAGATGAACTCTAATTGCACTTATTTCACAATTTTAAATGAGTTTTTTTAAAGTTGAAATATTGCAATAATTTATTATGCTCTATTGGATCTTAAGAAAATGGTGGCCGACAGGTGAAGAGCAGTAAACGAAGAAACGAGCTGCAAAAACACGTGTGATGCAAACTCCAAAACACACAGCGCTTAAAACAAATGCAAATGAAAAATCCTGCAAACAAGAAAGAGCTGCAAACAGGTGAAAATTTGCAGCAAACAGACAGAAGAAGGAACAAACAATGCTGATATCACTAAAAATAGAAGCAAAAACCTAAAAAAAAAAAATGTAAACAGAAAAAACAGTGACCACAAAAAACATGCTGCAAGCAAAAACAACATGCTGCAATCACAGCAAGAAAATGATGCATAAAACAGCAGCAAACTCGCTGTTTTTACTATTTGGATTATGTTTCTCTCTGTGGTTGCTGCATTTTGTTTTTGTTTGCTGTATTTTTCGTTTGCATTTGTGTTGTTTGTAAGTTTTTGCTTTTATTTATAGTTTGAAGCATTTTCTTTTTGGTGTATTTTTTGTGTATTTTGGAGTTTGCATTTAATATGTTTTGCAGGTCATGTCTTAATTTACTGCATGTTTTCACCTGCTTGCAGCTCATTTCGTTTTTGCTTGCAGCGTTTTTGGGGTTTTTTTGCATTTGTTTTTGTGCTTGTGTGATTTGCTTTGCACATGTTTTTGCAGCTAGTTTTGTCATTTACTGGGCATTTGCACCTCTCGGCCACAGTATAAGAGAGATCTAAATAGAGTTTCACTGTGCTACAAGAGTAAACAAGACAAAAAGGCAAGACCTGTTGAGCTAGTAATATTGGCTGTTCATCATCTGATCAAGAGTTGAAGATCTTGGCCGTCCACAGCAGTAATTCATATGATAAAAATAACATTTCTTTCATACACCCCTTTGCAAATTCTCAGTATTAAGCACATGGGCTTCCATATGCTTAAAAACTATGAAGAAATTTAATGGAAGCTAACTTTTTGTGTAGATCTTGATCTTGTAAAGGTTGTGCTCTTAAATGTTTAATCAGATTATGAAAATCTTATTTTAGTTAGCTGTTCTTTAAACAAATACCTGCATAAAAGTTTTTTATGTCACTTGTTTCCATTCTTAAAAATCCTTGCAGATTTTTATTTGGTTTTAAGATTTTGATCAGGACTGTATATCTTACATATATATACTGTATATCAATTACTAAGAGGTTTAGTCTCTATGAAAAGTAGCCATGATTCTTGCTAAGCTATGTGGATGCTCTGTCTGCAATGATAAAGATAGACTCATCTTGATTTGCTGATTCTTGAATATCAGGGAGGGTTGTCTTATAATTGACTTAACATGTCTTTTTGAATTTCCAAAAAAAATAAACTGTAAACATGGTACAAAAGAACTTTAGTAGATATTGGACTAAATAACTTTAACAATAATTCAGGAAACCATTTTAAATAAAAAAAAAAAAAAAAGCTTCAGCAATGATTGTTGGAGTTTAAGCCCCAAAAAGATTTTTGTGGTCATTTTACTAAATTCAAGCCCAGTTCTAATTTTTTATTAGGTGGAAAAAAAACTATATGGCCAAATTTGTGTACTTATTTACTTACACTAGAACAACTTTTCACAAATTTAAAGAAAAATAAATGCTTCAACCTGTATTCAAAATAAAAACTTCCAAGATGGTAACTCTCCTCCATTAACCAAAGTTTTTTCTTTGCTGGAAGTCAGACAAGTCTTTGACAATTGATGTGGGCCGTAAATATCCAACTGTGCCGGGTTTAGCTTTGCTGCAAAAATATGTTGTTGTATTTTTTTTTATTTTTTATAACTCCTTTTTTTATTATTATTTTCACATGCTGTTTACACATGCTGTGCAAATGATGAAAAATTGCTTTGTAGAAAAGGAGAAAGCGAGGGGAATCATTCTCCTCGAGGGTGGAAAAACAGCCCCCCTTCCTCCTCTCCTCCATCCCTAAAAATATGCATCGAGAGGTGAGAAAGAGAAGAAGCAGTTGCTGTCGTGGCTTGGCTGCGTTTGTGCAGGAAGAAACAGAATAGTTGGAAAAAAAAAACGAGAGGTGCACCAGAAATAAAAGAAGATAGAGGGAGCGGTGACAAACGGCTCCTTCCTTCCTGCCGACGCTGAGAGCAGTGTGCTCTGCATCCCCTCCCTCCGCTGATTAGGCCCGTATTGATTTGAGGCGTGTTTGTGGGGGGGAGGCGAGGAGGACTGGGCGGGAGGGAAAAGAGGGAGATGAGAGGGGAGGAGAGGAGGAGACGGCAGTGGGGGCTCGGTAATTGTACACTAGATGCTCCTCTTTGTTGGCAGGGGGGACAAGAGGGAGGAGGAGGAAGGGAGTGCTAATAGGAGGAGAGAAGAAGAGCTCCTGATGGGAGCAGGGCTCAGACACATCTAGATGGGAGTAGAGGGAGACTGGAGCAGATGGAGAAGTGAACATTTTTCAGGGGGGAGTAAGTAGAAGGCAGAAAAACTAAAAAATACATGATTTAGCCATAACGTCACCTGACATAAACTTCACAGGAAGAAAAGAGGGATGATGCGCTGCACATTAGTTAGGTCAGACTTTGTTCCAACATCTGGAAAAAAGTGGAGAAGAAGATAGGTGATAAAAGTTCAGTAAGCACTGATGGATAGAGACATTGGAGAAAAAAGAGGGAACCAGAGCCCTTCTACTAGCCTCAAACAGAGCAACACACATGTGAATTAGCTGGAGAGATCTGTCATCCTCAGCGATATAGGCTTTCCTCCTCATCACTGACAGAACAGGCACATCTCCAGCTGCCCGTGGCTTGCTTCACCTCCTCCATTTCTCTTTCTCTCCAACCATCACTTTCTTCTTTGCATTTCCACAGCAGCAGACGTGTATGCAGGTACACAACAGAGCAGAGTATCAACATCAAGAGCGCTCTTTTGTCTTCTTTTCCCCCTGACTTCTCTCTCTGTCTTCCATTGACAGACGACCTTCTAGGCAAAAGGAGAAGCTTCTCCCCAAACAGCAGCAGCGAGTGTCCCTCTGATAGCAAGAAGTCCCGCAGCGTCTCTCCAAAAGGTAAGATTTATATGTCATGAAACAAAAGTAAATGTTCCCCAGTGGTGCAGCATAAAAAGTTTACTTAGACTTGTTATTCGTGAGAGGCAATAGGTGGTTATAGGAAAAAGGACAGAATAAAAGTATGATCAAGATTGGGGCGTTTTGTGTTACAGCACTTTAGGGAGGTGCGCAGAGCATGTCTACTGTGTGATGCTCCTTCCTGTTGTAAAGGGCAATATATGAAATGGAAATCAACATGCAGTAGCTACATGATCTAAATATTAATATGCCCCTCTCTGCATCATTGGATATTTACAAATATGAGAAAAAAAACCCAGTTTATCATGAAGTCAAACTGAAAAAGATGAATGACAAAGTTATTTTGTTCTTTCATGGGATGCTTTTTTTTACAGATGAAGTAAGATCTTTGTCCAATTGTTTAGAGAAAGAACTCTGATTAACTGTTAGGTGATTTGTTTTTATACATATTTCATTTACTTTGTTCTAGAACCCTTTAAAGATGGCTGTTATCTGTTATTAGAACAGGAGCAGAGATGAAGTCACACTGTGTGAGAGATTAGGTGTTGTTAAACTGCAGTTAAACAGGTATTCACTACTTTTCCAAAACTACAATACATTTTAAGAGCTGCCATCTTGAGCCCTTTAGCTACTTATATTAATAACACAATAAGTGCAGTTAGAAAAAATAACTGTAAACAATACTTTAGTCCCTGTCTTCATTGTTCTCTAACTTCTCTTCAAATCTATTATATTCCATGAGACATTTGCCGCATTTACAATACCCTTTTTAAACAGTGCTAAGATCGGTCCAAGCTCAGTAACAGAGATAACTGTTGAGTGTTAATGGGACGCAAACTGAACCGGACCGTGTCAGACAAAACCAAATCGCGTTTACCTTGTGCTATTTCAGCAGTAGGGCTCGGTGCGGTTCAGTTCTGGCTCGTTTCTCAGATAACAAAGCCTGCATGAGCAAACCGCGTCATCTCCTTACAGTCAGCCTCCTTAATAATAATGAGATTTCCGACATTCATAAAAATACTAGCCTCCCCCGTGCCACGCGATTTCCAATGATGACTGCTTAGCAATATGAAGAACCACGTCTGTTGTTTCCTGCATCTGATTAGATTACCGTTTGTCATATCCACTTCAAGAATCAGAATCAGAAATCCTTTAATAATCCCAGAGGGAAATTACTTTTGTTACACGCTCCAGTTACAGTTTTTTATATATATATATACATATATATATACATATACATACATATACATATATATATATATATACATATATATATACATATACATACATATACATATAT